ACCTGCACATGAAGTGCTTTCTTCATGGGGCTTCACTCTTCTGTGCTCTAATATAGCATCATTTCACATGTTGCTGTTTACAGGCCCTCATGAGACCACCCATTTGAGCCTCTACAGGAAGTCTCCTTGAAGCATCACAGACTCAGGGTTCTACATGTGGTTGTGATCATATGAGCACATAGAGTATCAAAACACAGTAAATTATCTATTGGTCCCAGGTTGTGTGTATTCCATGAGGGTAAAGTCGTCCTTAGGCCCGATCCCATAGTTGTCCCAAAGGTCAATTCACTTCTGTGAAAGAACGTTTGTACACCCTGGGTTTATGCAGACCCTGTGCATATATCACGGAAGAATCTCTCACTTTCATAAGTCAGTGCCTTTGTTTATTGTTTTCTTCTATTGTGGAAGTGAAAATGATTTCCAAGGCCTCCCTCAGGAAATGCCTTCAGGAGTGTATTGTTAAAGTATACAATATTTACTCAAGTGCAAGTCTAGTTTTTTCCAGATATGGATGCCATCAAAAAAGAGGTCATCTTATATTAACATATAAAGTTACAGTAATGTCCAGTGATTTTATTTTTTTGCTTTAAAGATGTTTCTTTAAGGGGGTCATCTCAAGTAAATATGGTATTCCTTTCAAGGTATGCCCTTAGAAGGCATAACTGCTCATTCTTGCAGGAGTGCAGCAGGATCTGACTCCAATGAACCACTAGAAGATAGCTGCTGGATGGCAACATGGGCTTCTGTATCTATATTGGTTAGGTACTACAAACTGGATACCATTGCCTTGGCAAATGCCATTTTTTTTGGTGGTAGGCACTTAAGCAGGTTGTTTAATTCTGTTTTTATTCTCTAGTTAGCAGTAGTTTCTGTCTCATAAATTGCCACAACTGCAGAGCACCCTGATATTCAAAATTATGTCCTCGGTTCCAGATGAGAACAGAACATTGATTACTCCATGTGAAGGTTCCTTATATCTAAAACCTGAGAGTATCATTATGTCCCACCTTATGTTGGGGGCAGTGTTGCCTCTAAGCTGAGAAACTGTGAGCTAGCTCACAGTTTTTTAGCCTCCGACTCACACGTTTTTGCCTTAGCTCAGGAAGGATGGCTCCAGAGCAAACTAATTTATGCAGTAGCCATAATCGCTCGCTCACAACTTTCATGCCAGTAGCTCACAAAGTAGAATTTGTGCTTACAAGACTTCACAGCTTAGAGGGAGCATTGGTTGGGGGGGGCTTATTTTTTCCCTTTTGGGGTGCAAACTGTGACTGTTAATTTTCTGAGTGTGTGTGTGTGTTTGATTCTGGAGTTTTAACTGTTAATTAACATGTTCTGTTACAATGTTTGTATTCTGCACATTTGTTCCTTTTACTGTTATATGTATAGCATTTTGTAGCCCCAGCACCTAGGGGAGGGGAGAGGGCAGGAAAGGCGAGGGATCTCTCCACTGATAACCCCTCAATAAATAACTGTAAGATGTTTTGGCACAGTATAGGGCAACTGGATCCTGGCATCGACTGACCCGCCTGCCAGTTGATGTACCCCAGCCTGCCTGCTGGGGTGGGGGAGACCCATGGGATGGCAGGATGGCAGATTCCAGAAGGACAGCCGCCACTAAACGGTCTCCCATGCCACTTGAGCATGAGGGAAATCTGTTGGCAGCCCTCAGTCGGGGTATGCCTCTTGGCAGCCCCTGATCTGGGCATGCTCCTTGAAAGCCTTCACCCTAAGATCCCTTAAGGGGATCTCGACACACAGGGGAAATGGGCACACAGGTCAGTTTCCCTAAAGTAGATTTGGCCCTGTGCTGATACCACCACCAGAGCCGGGCATCCTCCCACCAGTGCTCCTACAGTGGTAGCCAAGTCCACAGGCCAAACCTAACCCATGCAGCCAGATGTCCATCACCCCATGAAAATAAGCGAATGCTGTCCACCTGAAACAGGGCCTCCAACCAGTGAGAGATGTCCAGATGATGAATTCTGTGGCCCCCAATGGTCCTCGCAATCTCTTCTCCTCCCCATGTTGACCCTTCCAGGGAACCTGGCCCCACGCCAAGAGCACCGTTTCAGCCAGTGTAACTACAGGATGGTCATGGTTGGTAGCTCTACCCATAGTGTCTGCAAATCCACCTCTGCCTGGTGTGCAAAATCAATACCCATGCAGTTCCCCAGGTCATTCTTGCCCAGTTGTATCACCAACACATCCAGGGACCCATGTTGTCCTTTGCAATGATGGACTGTAGGCAGTAGTTCATCCCATCTCATTCCCCTTGTGCCTATTCAGGTGATTTGCGGTGCTGCTCCCAGGCCAAGGTCCTTGTCCCATCCAGACGAAGCTGCATAGATTTGCCCCCAGTGTACAGTGCTGTGACCACAGATCACACCAACTTGTGCCACTTCACTGAAACTGAATGAGGTATTGTTAAACATCAGCAGTGAGGTGCAGCCAGACGTAAGTCCTGTATGCCTCAGAGTGCTGTCACCTGATGGCTTGGATGCACAATGGCTGTAATCCCAAACTGGCCACTGTAGTTGCCACTCCAGTATGAAAGGAATGGGGCCAAAACTCATGAGGAATTCACCAACTGTCAGTGCCCCAAAAAGGCCAAGATAAATGCTGTTTCAAATAGTGTGGTCTTGTAAGGATACCAGCACAGGCTCGGAAGTTTACGCACCAGCCATGTCAGAGTAACAAATGTCAAGGGTCTATGTAAATCGGGTGTTCTAGGGGAGAGCCTCCTCCTTTGTTTCACTGCCTTGCAAGCCAGGAAACTGTTGCATGGGTCAGTAAAGCTGCCAGCTTTGCTAAAGAATGAAATGGCAGCCATGTGCCCCGTATGGTTCTGGGGGCAAAGCCCTGGTCCAGTAAGTGTGGTATGTACTGGAGGACCTACTCAACTGACACCAGCAACACATCTGAATCCCCAGCACCTGCTGAGAAAGCCAAGAAGGCTGCAGCCACTGAAGAATATGAGCAAAGGTAGATGGCATTGAGTGGAATACTCCCTGCATTATGATATATTCCAATGTTCCCAGCCCCTCGGGAAATGGGTCCAGGTAGCAGTTGGCCTCCAGCACCAGGCTGCGAAATCTCTCCTGAAGGTGAGATAAGGCAACTACAATGCTTGAGTGGAATACTCCCTGCATTATGATATATTCCAATGTTCCCAGCCCCTCGGGAAATGGGTCCAGGTAGCAGTTGGCCTCCGGCACCAGGCTGCGAAATCTCTCCTCCTGAAGGTGAGATAAGGCAATTACAATGCCGTTCTCGCTGCCTGCTACATAGTGAGCTGAAAATATTGTGTTAGTGGACAAACACATGAGGACAAGCCTGTGTACCAGTCGTATAACCCGTTGTGATAGTGAATTTTACTTATTCACCACCCTCACCACTGCTTTATTAACGCACCAGAATCTGACTCCCCTGGTCTGAAATTGTTCCCCCCAGAGAACTGCTGCCATGAGAATGGGGAACAATTCCATGATGGTAAGGTCCTGCTGGATGTCTGCCTGACAGGCAAAGTTAAGATTCTCCACAAGTGATTGCAGCTCCCTCAATGTACATTTAGCACATGCCAGTGCCCGGGTAATAAGGACGTACAGTGCAAGGTTCTTGTCCTCTGGCAGGCGGGGTGTCCTTTCAATGGAATCGAATTGAGTGCCCAAATAAGATAACTGTGTTGCGGGATCCTCCATCTTGTCGTGAGCCAGTGGGACTCCCAGTTCCCCTGCCAGGACCTGGAATGCTGTCACATGTTCTGTGGAAGCAGTCCTACCTGCTGGTCATGTAAGGTAGTAGCCTTGGCTTTCACTGCCCAAGGTGTTAAATGCTTCCAAGGTCACCCATGGGCATGGCCTTGTCTACATAACTCAACCCCAGAACTTAAAGCCCAACAAGCAAAACCCTGGGGTGCACTGGGAGCAGGCAAAAAGGCTGACTGTACATCACATTTGGCCATGAGCGCTCCTGGGCCACAGGACCTTACTAACCCCACTACATGATCAAAGGTGAGCTGGCCTGGCAGTGTGGTGCGGTTTTTCCCCAGTGACCCCACAGCACAATTCAGGCCTTGCCATAAGCCATCCTTGAAGGCACTGGGTCTAACTTCTGTGCTCTGGCAGTCACCCGGCCTCTCAGCTGCCCATGCACCCCGTCCTTCCCTGCAGGATGTGGCCAGCTATGGCTGCCCTTGCCCTCACTGACTCTCCCTACCTATGGAGGACCACAAACAGGATCTGAGGGTGAGCCGGGGCCCCAGCTTTTTCTTTCAGATTTGGCGACAGAAGTTAGTGAACTGAGAATGGATGTTCTGCCTTGGGAGGTGAATTACTGAAATTGTCTTTCTGCCTCCAGTGGTTTGTGGAATGTAGAACTCAGTATTTAAAATTATGCCTTAATTTCCAGATAGAAGGAACTTTCACAGTGAGTAATAGATGTTACTGTTCTCCCTTGTTCTTCAATATACTTTTAGTGCCTCAACAAGTCTCCCATTCCAAAATTAAACTACCTTTCCTACTACTAAGCATAGGTTATCTATTCTACTATATTGCATTTGGCAAGGAATGTATTCCTATTCTGATTTTAGAGTGTTGGAAGATAACTTAAATGAGATTTGAATAAAAGACACTGGCAAACTTTATACCTTGTATTCCTGTGCTGTTCTGCCATTAGCAAAATGTTTATTCTTAGTATTCTGATTGTGCAGTTCTCCTTGCAGTGTTGCTCCAATCTGAGACTGTTAAAATCAACGGCCTTAGACGGAAATAATTTTTCATAGGATTGCACTGTGAGAATAATTACCCCTCTACTCTGTTTTGGTTGCTTCTTTGTAATAGCTTATGCAGGAAAAGAAGAATTTACCATATATTATAAAATAAAAATACCTTGTACCGTATAATATTTAATTGTTTGTAGCAGATGTACCCTCAGCTCCACAAAGAAAATTCTGACTCACTTTACCTATAATCAATTGTTTTCCTTTTCTTTTCCTTAAGACGAACAACTACGTATCCTTACTCAGAAACTCAGATGTACAGCCAAAACACTGGGGGGAATTACTTTGATACCCAAGGAAGTTCTGCACAGGTGACAACAGTGGTCTCTTCTCATAGTATGGTGGGAACTGGAGGCATTCAGATGGGTGTCACTGGAGGACAGCTTATCAGCAGCACTGGAGGTACCTACCTGATTGGCAATTCAATGGAAAATTCAGGCCATTCAGTGACTCACACAACACGAGCCTCCCCAGCTACAGTAAGTAGTTTAGATTGTAATGTACCTTTATACCGAGATGCTTGGTTCTTGTTATGCTTTTCCATCGTGTTTGTTTTCAGTAACAGAAATCATGGGTTTGCCTAAAGAAGGCACAATCCACAAAATGCTGTCTCTGCACAACCTCTGTTTATTTCAGTGCAGGTTACACAAGAGCCTTGAAATATTACAAGCTACACAGCAACAGCACTCAGAATGTTTTCCCCTACGGAATTTCTGCCAACTATTCAAAACATATGAGTAGTCCCACAGTCTTCATCAGTGTTATTTGTGTGTATAAGAATAGACAACCTTAGAGATGGTTCTTCAAGTATTTTTTTAAAAATATAATTATGAATGTAAAATAAATGGAATTCCAGTATTACAATTTCTGTAACTAGATTCCTTTCACATTAGAATTTCATGTCCAGTATATATGCGCATCAGAAAAGACCACTATTTATTCCACAGGTGATACAATTTTGGTGCAACTTGCCATTTAAATGTGTGTAAATTTTTATTTTAAGCAAATGGGGAAAGGGGTATGTCACAGAGATTAGGAACTTTATTAAAACTTGCTTGATGACAAAACAGTGGCACAGATGAAGCCAGCTTGTAAGAATTTGGAATTTCTTATTTAGAAAGCAAGCCTATTTGGTTTTCAGTTTCATCATTGCTAAACAGTCTCAATATACATTGTCCATATTGAAAGATTCTATTCTATTGTGGTTCTAAAAAGAAAGAACAAACTGGGAGAAAGCTATATTTATAGTATATGCATAAGACCAAGACCAAAAAGTCTCCTTGCAGTGTTGCTCCAATCTGCTCCAATTGTATTATGGAATAAATGTAAGAAATGGAGACAATGAAGCTTGAGGTGTGGGTGGGCAGGAGGCCACTGGGAGCCCTCATTAGAGTAAGATCTACGTATAGTAAATATAATAAAAATAAAGACAGCAGGATGCAGAAAGTGTGTGGAATTTTCACATGAAAACCTGGATTTTGATCTGCTTGGCATGCAGAAGGTCCAAGGTTCAATCGCCAGCATTTCCAGTTCAATGGATCAGGTAGTAGGTGATGTGGAAGACTTCTGCCTAAGACCCTGGATAGCCATGGCCAGTCTGAGAAGACATTATTGACTTTGATGGATCATTGGTTTGATTCAATATGAGGCAGCTTCAGGTGTCTGTGTTTTTCTCTGCACTGACTATCAGGAGCAGCTTTTTGAAGTGGCATCTGAGGAAGTAAAAAGAGGAAATTGAAAATGGCATTGTACATTTTCATAAGTGCTTCTATGTGTACACATAAATCCTTGGATCATGGCTTAGGAAATTTTTGAAGACCTATTTCAAACATAGAGTTGTTTTATGAAGGAGGATCGCTAAACCCCAGTATTTAAGATTAATTGCTCTCCCCCCCCCAATCGTGATTCTTCTTTTTGTTCCTAAGTTTAAAGATACATTCTGGGTGCATTTCATTTATTCCTTATAGCTATGGGAAGCATACTGACTTTAACTCCATTTCTTTTAAAAAATATTTTAAAATCTATAGGACTTAAACTTATCAAATGATGATGCTGTACAAAGTAAAACCATAATTGTTTCACATACCATCTGTTTTCATAAGTTAAAAAAGAGTTTAAAAATTGCAAAGCTTTCAAGAGGTAGAAACTTTACAGAAGCTTGTGTGCTTTTTTATTATTATGACTAATTGGTGTTAAAATAGAAGAAGTCAAAAAGAGTGACTGGTAAATTCAGCTTTCAGATATGCTTTCTTAATGTGAATTGTCGTTATTTTTGGCATCAACAAAACCAGATTTTTTTTCCTCCTAGAATTTCACTATAATGAAAAATACAAGAAACTGGTGTATAATTTCTTTGTGTTTCTCCTGCAGCAGTACTACATGGAAACATATATTACCCTGATATATATTTTGTAAGAAAACAAAGCCTATCAAGTTCTTCTCCAATTACTTTATGCTATCAATAAATATTAAGTTGGGGGGAGGTAATTTCATCTCTTATCATAAGCTGAGCATTTGAAAATCACAACATCTAATAGTTATAGAATGGAAAGTAGTGTAGATTTATACTGTGAACCACAATTGGCAGTTATAGGAACAGATGAACCTTTAATACATTAGATTAAATGTTTGAATAATTTGCTATTATCTAAAAGATAATTCCTTTTACAACATCAGATTGTTGTTTGTTATGGCTTTTATCTTTGTATGTTATGATACTCAAATGGTGCTAGATAAATAATATCTCCAATTATATATATAGTGTTTGTGGGGGGTGTTAAGCAGAGAGTTTCATTGTTTCATTGTTTGTTGATTGAAGGATGCTATCTTAAAGAGATACAGTTCTTGTAGAGCCAAGGAATATCAGGAAATTAGCAACATCCTCCTGTTCCCTTTACTCACTCTGAAAGTTATTACAATTGAATATTAAACTCTCAGCTTCATTTATAACAGTAAACATAGATTTGAACTAATCAGAGATTCAAGAATGGAAATTAGGTTAGAAACAGCTGTTTTAATATGAACTTGGTATTTCAAGATTTGTATGAGTATAGACAAACATTTGTGAAGTTGAAATGTATTGGAAGTGTTTCTGTGAGTTGCTACATTAAAAAATTAGTCTGAATCCATAATTTTTCATTGCCTTTGGCAGGTGTTTAACATTATTACCACTTAAAAAAACATAACAACTAAAACTAGTAATTAGTACCAAGCAGCCGCTGTTTTTATCAAGTCAAGTTTATTCTGTACATAACCAGCACAAATCGGCTGCAGCCATATTTTAACTGTGTCAGTAATACAATTATAACAATTTTAAAATTTTGTTATACAATTTCTAAAACATATAGATTATGTATAAGGTATATAGTAACAGTTTTTTAAATTCGCTTATAAATTTCTGAAACTCTCATGATATGAAATAAAACAAGATTTATATACATGATTTGTCCTTTCAATTACCCATAACCTCTTGGACTCTGCTATACTTGATCTCTGCGAATTCTTTGGGCTATATCTAAAAATTTAGCACAGTTCAATATGAGCTGTGGGTCAGGGTCAAATAGGAGTTTCTGGGTTATCTCCTTATCTGAATACATGTAGAACCTCCTTAAAATAGGATAAAGGGTATTTGCTCTACTGTCTTCATAATAGCCACAATGCAATAATATATGTTCGATTGTTTATATTTTCCCTGAGCCACAAGGGCATAGACACTCAATCAATGGCATCTTTTTATACCGGCCTTTCTAGGACCGCTGATGGATAGATATTGCATATGGCTATAGAGTAATGTGCACCTGCAATGTGATGGAATCTCTAGGAGCTATAGGTATGTTGCAGGTGCAACTATGTACTTCATTCTCTGTGATGCCAGATAGATTGAGGCTTATCGTTTTGCCTTTCAGTGTTGTATATTCTTTGTTTAATTATGGCCCTGGCCTGTTCTAATGGCAGTACCTGTAGAGACTCAAAGGAGAACCCAAGTAGGTGTATCTTCGTTCTGATAAACTGCTCTAAGCCAATTTAACAGTGACTATCCCTAAGGATTAGGGCAATAATATTGGAGGGTCTGTGGCATACCCCTAGACAGGCATTTATGGGAGCCAGAATTATCCTGGCCTCCACTCTAATCAACCCAGTTTCTAAACGTAAACTGGCATTAGAGGCACTGGTTGGAAATTGAAAGATCTTAAAAATTTTGACTGTATCTTTTCCAGGGGTGCAAAGCTTGAAGAGGGAAGGCCCAGCATAATACCATACATAAGCTGTGGTACCATTTAAGTATAGTTTTAGTCCAGCAGGTATACCCCCCCCTTTTGTTGAACTGAATTGGATGATGTTAAGCATGGACTTGCTTCCCGGGTTGGAAATACATTCGTGATGAGCCTTCTTTGCCCCTGAGGACTGGAACATGATCCCTAGATATTTAAAAGACAATACTTGCTCCAGGCTATGGCCCTTTTTACTCCACTTCCTTAAGTTAGGCCTCTTACCAAAAGACATGATTTTGGTCTTTTTGGTAATTAATCTCCTGTAAATGTAAATCACAAGGTGCCAGCCTGTCTTAATGCCCTTTTAAGTCCTACTGGTGTCCTAGATAGTAGAACCATATAATCGGTGTATAGTAAGGCTACCATATGTCGACTTGCTAGAGTAGGAGGATGAATGCTGACTGTTTCTAAGTTTCTGATCAAGTCATTAATATATAGGGCAAAGAGAAGGGGCCCCAAGATACAGCCCTATTTGACTCCTTTGATGTTTTTATCTTAGTCTTCAAGACATCGGATACAGTAGTGAAACGGCACATTATTCCTGGAGAGATTTTGTTGCAGCACAGATAGCTTGTGCTCATTTCGCTTTTGACCATTATAACCATACAATTGGAGTATTTTTCTGTTGTGAGCCTTTCAAACCTGCTTGTGTTGTAGCTGAGCTTTTCCACATTCATATAGGTTTGGTGGAGGCAAGGAATAGAAGAATGTATGTACTTTTTGTACAATGAGAAGAAATAATTGTTAAAGGACACTGGTTTCCTGAGGCATGTATGTGTACTATAACCTTTCTAACTCATGCTACACCAATATCTGATTGGTAATTTATTTTAAGCATGTTTATGTAGTTCTGTTTTTCATTACAAGAAGAGAAGTCACAGTTCAGCCTTGTCAGAAACCATTATTTATTATTTTTATAACTGATATGACTTTGATTAGTAATAGTATTAAAGGTACAAAAGTGGAAGGAATGAGGTAGTTAAAAATAATGAGTTGGATCCAAAGATTCTCATTCATTGAAGACTCTCACTTAGTGTAACTGAATCTTATGATCCACGCTATTATTAGAAGTTCTTCTGCCTAAAGAGTAATTGGCATATTTAAGCTACATTGTGAAAATATGTATTGACTTTTGTAACAGTCTTTTAGTATGTTAAGCTTGATCATATTTATTTAATAGTGAGCACACAAGTGTATATGTTCAGTAG